CTGCCTACGCCGACGGCCAGAGGCCCGCGCATCTACATTTTTTCGCCTGACCCCATCAGTGCCGACCCAACTACACCACCACGCGCATGCCTCGCGGCGGATATGCGCAGCAGCAAGAAGGTTTCGGTCATCCCTTGAGGGTGAATCTAGCCCTGCTCGCCAGAAAGACCCCCCCCTTCACTACAACCCATGTCTAAGCAAAAGCTTGTCGAGGAGCGAGGGGAAGAAGGGAGATGGAGCCTAAAATACTAGTATTATAAGTGTAATGGACGATGTCGGGCGGGGGTGACGGACAGAAGAACGTCTTGTGATGTTTCATGACTTCAGTGATCAGAGGAAGGAAGGGGGCGCAATTCGCAGAGGTCACGCTTTGTATGTGCTCCTGTCCCATCCGTCTGTATGCAGTGCGTGCAATCAATTTGTTTTTCTGATTTTTGTTTTTTTGTGCGGTGTTGTTGTGGGTGTTGTGGGGTTGGGGTGTATCAGTAGATAAGGCGTGCGCGGTGGTCCTTCTTACCCCACGAGTGGGGTCAAAAATCATTAATGCTCCTTCAGGATCCTCTCCGCACGGTTCATCCTAGTAAAAGGCGAGGGTGAAATTCGTGATGCGACAGGATCGGAGATGTTCCGAGACAAGTTAATGCCGGCGGTCTATATACAGTCTCCATTGGAAAACTCACCAATTTGATCTGCGCCAACATAACAAAAAATGCAAAAATCCAACCTACTGCTGTACAGTCGACCCCGGTTTAAGAACGCACATGGATTTTCCTGAAAAAAAACGTCCTTAAAATTCAGGGGACGATAGCTCACTATCCCCGGATCCAATGGAGGCCTGCTATACCTCAAACTACGCGTCTTTTACTAAAAGGAAGGGGGTGGTACAAAAAGTCAGCATCGCCGAGCCGACTGGCGACCGTTTGTTGATGTCGAACATATTTACGATACTTGAAATGAAATGTACACCATTCACGTTACATGGCTGTCTTCCCCGCTACTCAACTAGCACACAGAGATGCACATGGCATGCAACACAACAACACAACTACAGAACGACAACCCCCTCCCGCCGAGGCATTCTGGGTTGCAACCAACGGCTGCATCAGCGCTGGTATCGCATTTGGACCTCCTTGATTCCGGGAATGAGATGCCTGTTCAGCCGGAGCAGCAACATCATCTCGATCTTGTCGAGAAGAATACCGACGCGCATGTCACTCAGGACGAGCTTGGTGCGGATGGGTACCAAGTTGGGTGGGAGTGCCTGGGATGGGATATGATGTTGTAATGGGAGTGGCTGGGATGGGATAAGCCATTGCGATGGGAGTGTGGATGGGATGGGGGCGACGGGGGAAATTCTAGATGGGATGGGATGGTAATCTGAATCCGATGGGATGGTGATGGGATGGTTGTTGTTGTTGTTGTTGTTGTTGTTGTTGTTGTCTTCACATTAAAAACCGTTCCGATCGCTCTCTAGACTACCCAGTACCTGAGTATGTCCGTACTGATACAACACTCGACGCGGTCGATTCCCATGGTCGCAGGCTAACTTACCCTAAAAAGGTACACTCAAATATAATGGCCCCGAGAGGTCCGCACGTCAATAGAAATCAACGACAGATATTCTGGAGTCCTCCACTCCCTCTGCGGGCTATGCGAGGTAACAACTGAGACTAGGATTCACCATCACCGGTCGGAGAGAATGAGGTACACCTTGGTTCAATCTTGGTGCTTCACAACGCACGCAGAGACAAGGCCATCTGGCACAGAAAAAGAGAGAAAAAGGCCGAAAATAACAAGAAATAAGAGACAGAAAAAGGCACACGGTGGAGAGACCACTAACGACAAGCAAACACGCAAACATGGCCATCAACCAGCGATACATTGTAATGGTACGTCATCGCTTTTTAGTGGGGGGTTGGTGCAATGGTGCAGCGTTGGGGGGGGGGAATTGGCTAAAAGAAATTCAATCCGGCACGTATCGCGCCACTCGGTCCGTCTCTTCTCGTTTGCTTTNAGCGTTGGGGGGGGGGAATTGGCTCAAAGAAATTCAATCCGGCACCTATCGCGCCACTCGGTCCGTCTCTTCTCGTTTGCTTTCTTCCCTCGCCGTCTCGTCCGTCTCCTGCCCCCCTCCCGCCCCATTGGTTGGTGGCTTGTGGTTTCGTTCGAGCGCCCGTTGTCGGCTGGCCTCTTCTTCCTTCTCGTGCCAG